CCCAGTCCCGCCCCGCCCAGCGCGGTCTGGGCCCCGCCGGCTCCCGCCTAGGTCCCCGCCTCCACCCCGGTAGGGCGCTCTGTGGGGTCTAAGCCCTGGGACCTTCTCCGCCTAGGTTCCCGACCTTGATCCCTACCCGGGACGGTCCCGAGCCCCCTATTACCTCCCCTGCCCCAGCCCCCTTCGCTCAACCCTCAGCATCCCTGTTCTGGCTCCTGAATGCCCGTCCGCGGGGATTGCTGGAAGTTGGAACTGCCGCCTTGATTTTATGGCTTCGGAATCTCTCCTGTCCCCCAGCCTGAGCCTCCTTCAGGAAATTCTACCTCAGCGTCCCTCCCCTTCCCACTTCTCCCACCGTCTCACCCAGACCCAGGCGCTGGCCCCATTTCCCCAGGATTTCTCAATTCGAAGTGACCACCCTTTTTCACTTCTAGCAGAATGCAGGAACCCCTCTGTCTTTGGGAGGAGATGGCGTTCCCTCGCCTTCCTCTTTTCCAGCATCCCCAACCCTGAGCTCCAGCCCCAGGCTAGAGGTCTGACTTCTGTCTAGGAGCTGGGAGCCTAACTTCCTCCTGGACAAAGCAAGATCTTAGCCGTACCTGTGGAGAGGTGGGACCCGACGGCTAGTCAGAGCAGATGTTCCCACGTAGGTTCCTGCCAGCACCTTGTTGCAAGAGCCGTCACACCTTCCCCACCTGACTCCCACCCCTGGCTGTCCCTGCTCTGTGGTGGCGCAGACTGTCTTGACCTTAAGCCAAGTCCTCCCCCTTTCCCTCCCTAGGGCGGCCAAAGCATTATTCTGGAGTCAGTCCAGCCCCCTGCTGCCCAGTGTTGTCTGGGCCTGGCACCACTCCCAGACTGTGGGCACAGGTTAGCTGGCTGGCAGGCAGGCTGGAGACAGTTCCAGCTTTACCCTCTTCCCCAGAAAATCTGGCACAAGACACTCAGATGTGGCCTGGCCACACCCCTACTGGGTGTCCTGACTTCTGCCCTGTGTCCGGCAGAACAGACATTGCTGGTGTCCTGGTTGACAGATGAGAGACAAGGACTCATCTGCTGCAGGGTTATGAACAGGCGATGGGGAGGCTGCCTGACCCCGGGCCCATCAGGCTCTCCTGCATGCAAAATGAGTCATGGGGTGGGGCATGAGTACACCCCCAGGGCCCAGTGTCTGGCCATGTGGAGAGGGGGGTGAAAGGGGAGACCCAGCTCCTGCTCCCAGAGGGCCCCCGTGCGTGTCACACCACAAAGCACTCACTGACGGGCATATTACATGGTAGCATGAAAATGAATACAGGAATGAATGTGTGCTGCTATAGTTTGGATGCCCCCTTAAAATTCATGTGCTGGAACTTGGTTGTATTATAAATGTGTTAAGTGAAAACTTAAAAAATTTTTTTAATTAATTAATTTAATTTATTTACTTTAATTTGACCAGAGAGGTACAGAATGAGAGAGAATGAGAGAGATGGAAAGTGAGAAAGCAAACCACCAGGTCTAGGACTTGAACCATGGTTGGCCATGTGGCACCCTTAGCCATCACGCCATGTGCCAGCCCCAGTGAAAACTTAATCCCTTCATGGTGTTTCAGGGTAATGAAGTAATTAGGGCAGGGTCCCTATGATTCTGGTGGGTTTATAAGAAAGGAAAGACCAGAATAGGCAGAAACTTACAGACAGCTGCTCTGCTTAAGATCCCGCCCTCTGGGGTTACGTGGCTGGATCCCACATGGCCCACCGCAGTTGAAGTTAAAGGGGGCCAATTAAAGGTCAGATTTTCATTCCTTTACCCAAAAGGTAATTACTGAGCACCTACTATGTGTCAATTATTCTAGATGCTGGGGATATGGCAGAAAACAAGAGATAAAAGTCCCCCTGGGGCCAGCAGATGGTGTGGTGATTAGATCATTAGACTCCCACATGACTGAACACAGTTCAAGTCCTGGACCCAGTGGCTTGAAACTCACACTGGGTGTGTGTTCATGTATGTCCAAGGTCCTGGGAGGAGAATGAAGAAGGGATTGTGGCATGGCCAACCCCCCAGGGGGTGATTTCTCACTTTCTCTCTCCCTCTCTCTCTCTCTAGCAAGCACACACGCCCTATAGCAAAAATCTCTCCCCAAAAATTAATTAATTCATTCATTCATTAAATAAAATAAAAAAGTCCCATAGTGGAGCGAGTCCAAGGTCTGGAAGGAAAGATGGTACATAAACAGATGACATATAGAGGACCAGCTGGTGGAGTGGTGGTTAAGGTTGTTGGATCCACCTGGTCAACTACATAGTTCGAGTTCCAGACCTGGTGGCTTGAGAAACATACGGGGCATGTGTGCCTGCATGCCCCAAATCCTGAGAAGACAAAAGAGAAGAGATTGCAAAGTGGCCATCCCCTCTGGGGAGTGATTTCTCACTTTCCCTCTCTCTCTCCCTCTCTCTCTCTCTGGCAAGCACATACAACTAAGATAAAATAACATATATAAAAGTATAATCTGCTCTGGAGAAGATAAAGTAGGAAAGAAGGTATCGGGATTGCGGACTTTGAGGGGAGAATTCCGAGTTTAAGTCAGATGATCAAAGAGGGCCTGAGGTGGTGATGACTGAGTACGTATCTGAAGGAGGTGGTGGAGTAAGTCATGTAAGTATCTAAGGGAGGAGCATTCTGGGCGGGGGTAGCAGCAAGTGTAAAATCATGCGGAAGGCCAGCAGTTGGCATGGTGCTTAAGGTGCTGGACTCCCACATGGCTGGCTGTGCTCTGAGTCCTGGACCTGGTGACTTGTTTTCTCACTTTCCTTCTCTCTCTCTCTCTCTGGTGAGACAAATTAAAAATAGTAATAATGGGCTGGCATGTGGCATGGTGGTTGAGGTGCTGGACTCCCACATGACCGACCACTGTTCAAGTCCCAAACCTGGCAACTTGCTTTCTTACTCTCCCTTTCTCTGTCTCTCTCTGATCAAAATTGAAAAATAATAATAACAAATAAAAATTAAAAATATTTTAAAATAATAACAATAATAAAATTAAATAAACCATTTTAAAAAAATGAAATAGGAGCCTACCTAGTATGTCTGAGAAACACCAAGGTCTGAGAAATACCAGGAGGCCTGGATTAGTAGGTGAAGAAGAGCTCAGAGTGGGTGAAGCTAGAGAAGACAAGAAAGGGGCAGATTGTAGGAGACCCGGTTTCCACTCTGAGTGGGTAGAGACCACAGGAGGATTTTGGACAGAGGAGGGACATGATTCCTCTTTGGCTTTAACAGGATTGCGCTGGTTGTTGAGTTGAGAATAGACTGAAGGGGTGCTCCACGTTATTTAGGAGGTGACCGTAATAATGCAGGTGAGAGGTGATGGTGGCCGGGACAAAGGCGATAGGAGTGGTGGTGGTGAGAGATGATCTTCTTCTGGGTATATGTTAAAGGTGGAGCCAGTAGGATTTGCTAATGGAACTGGGCGGGAGGTGGGTGGCCCAGAAGGACTGAGAGAAAGGGAGGAATCCAGGATGACTGGAACAACTGGAAAAATGGCATTGTCATCTGTGAGGATGAAGGGAGACTGGGCAAGCAGGTGAGGCAGGGCTAGACCAGGATTTGGGTTTTGGGTCTGTTAAGTTACCCATTAGATAGCCCAATGGGGAAGGTAAGTAAGCCACTTCCCATAAAAGTCTGGAATGCATGACGGAAGTGTAGGCTGGGAGCCACCAGCACAGATGGTTTTCTTTAATTTTTTAGAGAGATTTTTGCTATTGAGAACATGTACTCGCCAGAGAGACAGAGACAGAGATAGAAAGCAAGAAATCACCCTGAGGGGGATGGCCATGCCGCAATCCCCTCTCAGGATTTTTGGGCATGCACACGCATGTGCCCAGTGTTATTTTAAGCTGCCAGGTCTGGAACTCGAACCACAGTTCATTGTGTGGCGGTTCACTACATGGAGTCCAGTGACGTAACCACCATGCCATCTACTAGTCGAGCACAGGTGGTTGTCAAAGCAAGGAAGAGGCCCCTTGGTAGCAGCATGGATGACAGCTACAGGTTGCTGTGGTATCCAGGAGAGACTGTTTGAACAAAAACTGGACCGCCCAGGTGGGAGAGAAGGGCCACAGGCTTTCATGAGATTCAGTTAATATTACTATCCCTTACTTCAAATATCAAAAGAATTCACGTTTGTTGTAAAACATTATAACGGACAGTCCCAACCTGGCCAGTCCATAGCAAACTGAACTGCAGTGCTGGAAGCCACATGGTTGACTGTGGATTCTGTTCTTGGGTCAGCTTGAAATACACCTCTGTGCATGCCCAAGATCCCGAGGTGCTGGAGTGCTGGGGAAAGGGGATTGCACAGTGACAAAGGGGTGTTTCTCTCTCCCCTCACCTCCATCTCCTTCACATAATCATTTAAAAACAAAAAAGTTGGGTCAGCAGGTGGCTAAGGGTGCTGGAATTCCCATATAGCCAACCATGGTTTGAGTCCCGGACCTGACGGCCTGCTTTCTCACTCTCCCTCTCTCTCTCTGTCTTTTTCTGGAAAAACTCATGTGAAAAAATAATAAATAAATAAAATAATTCTAAAGAACAATTTAACAAGAAAACAACAAACCGATATGAACTAGAAGCAACAGGCCCTGGTGACCAGTCAGGCGAGGATGAGAATAGAACTAGCTCCTTAGCTTCTGGCTCAACATCCTGGAGGAAGAGGGGTCTGGGTACTAGAGGGGAGTTCAGCATTTGAGATGTCCGCCCCATCACTCAGTGGTGCACCCAGATGGCCGATGAAGCAGTAATGTGGCATGCTACTAGCTGCAGACTTGGGATCAGGAGTAGTCTGGCATGGGGTGGAGATGAGGCTATGGGCCAGTCTGGGGGTGTGTCTCTGTGTCTGGGAGAAGGCCTGAAGATGGACTTGGAATGCTCCCTGACAGGAAAGGGATGAATAGAGACTAGGAGCCTGAAACGTGGCAGGGGCTAAAACAGAAATGTTCCCAGGTGTCCACAGTGACAAGCTGCCAGGGATCTGGGACCATCTCATGGGGTGAAGGTGCAGGTGCTTCAGTTGGGCCTTAGTGGATGAGGAGGAAGTGACCAGGGGGAGAATGGGGAAAAGGCATTCTCGGCTGAGAACGTGAACAGACAGGGATATGTGAGAGAGAAAAGTTTACTTTTATTTTATTTTTAAAGTTGTTTATGAGAGATAGTGTACTTGTGCATGTGTGCATGTGTGTGAGAGAGAGAGACCCTTGACAGGGTCTTATTACTGCAATCTCCTTCCCTAGCTCTCCCACTTATCAGGATCTTGGGCACATGCGCACCAAGAATGTCTCAGGTCGACTTGGGATTCAAACCTGTAATCAGCCATGTGGCTTCCAGCACTGCAGGTCGGTACATTACTGCCTGTGTCGCTGAGGCTGGGCTGGCTGTGTGTGTGTGTGTGTGTGGGGGGGAGTCCTGGTACCTCAACCTGGCTTTCCTCTATGATCTGGCCCTGCTGCACCTCCTACAGACTGGCCTCCCTCCCACCCTGGGAGTGGGTGTAATGGCCTGCTGCAGGTCCTTCTGCCCAGGGCATGTTCTCCTCTCAGGTTTGCACAGTGTTAGTTCCCCAGGCCTGGAGCACTAACTAGCCTCTCTGTTCCTTGCTCCCTCATCCCCATGGACTTGGCCGTGACGCTTAGGCTTTCCCTAGTAGACATCACCTGAGAGGTGTGGGGCTCCTTCTGCATGGTTCTGCGAAGACCTGTGTTTATTCCAGTCATAGCACTGATGGTCATATGCGGATATGGCCTGTATTAGGTGTCTGTCCCCTCTTAACTGAGGGCATCTGGTACAGAAAATATGTTTGCAGAGTGACTTGCATACTTGGAAGAGCAGTGTTCCTATAAAGGAGCACTGAGAAAAGGCTGGACACTAAGGACCTCACAAAGCCCCTGGGAATATTTGGGGTTTCCATTCCAGGGGCTATGGGGGGGGGAGGTGAGCCAATGGCCCACCAGATCCATTATTGGGAGCTGCTGCCATCTGCTGGGAAGAACTGATATTGCCTTGTGGATGCTGTCGCTGCCTTGCACCTGTGTGAGGTGGTTGCTGGCGAGACACTGATAAGTACAGGGTCTGGAGGAGGAAGGGGTGGAGGTTTTGTAGGATTCAGGAACCGTTATGGGGGATGGGGAATGGAAAAGGCCAGTGTAAGTGTGTGTGTGTGTGTGTGTGTGTGTGTGTGTGTGTGTGTTGTAGAGGTACTCCTGTTGTTGCTTTTTTTTTTTTTTAATAAGATTTTTGCTATAGGGCGCATGCGCTCACCAGAAAGACACAGAGAGACAGAAAGACAGAAAACAGGAAATCACCCCCTGGGGGGGTTGGCCATGCCGCAAACCTTCTCCTCCATTCTTCTCTCAGGATCACGTGCCTGGCGTGAGTAAGCCACCAAGTCCGGGACTCAAATCGCAGTTGACTGTATGGGATACCAGCGACATAGCCATTATGCCAACTGCTGGTCCCTCCTGTTGCTTTCTTAGGTCAGACTGGTTTATTCTCCTTTTCTCCCCTCCTGGGAAGTCTGGGCCTGACCCATTTGTTGCACAAAGTGCTGGCCATTCTGTGAGGGGCCTTATTTACCCCTCGGGGTGACGCTATCAGGGAAACCCTATATTAGCTCTGTGTGACAAATCAGGACCCTGGGGTTCAGGCAGGTACACATCAACAGGGTGGGAAGGGCTAGAGACAGTTGGTAAGCTGTCAGGCCCTGCAGAGCCCAGCCTCCGCCCCAAGTGGGCAGCTCTCCCTCCACCTTCCACCCCCCACCCACCCTCCCCCCTCCCCCCTGGAACCAGCTCAACCCCAAGGCCTGAGGTCAGCTATCCTGGGGAAGCAGGAGAGGAGGGGGATGCCCGCAGCTAGGGAATTGGTCCTACTACTTCGTATTTTTAAGTTTTCCTTTTATTTTTCTCTTTTTAAAATTCTTCTCTCTTGCCTTTTCTCCCCCCCGCCCCAGAATCAGTCCTTCTACTTAGTGTGTTATATTTTTTAAGCTTTCTTTTTTTCTTTCTTTTTTATCTCATGCGAGAGAGAGAGAGAGAGAGAGAGAGAGGTATTCCCAGCAGGGTTTTCATGCCATGATCCACCCACAGCTTCAGCCAGCCTGGGTTCATGAGCACACATGTGCCTGGGGCCGTGTTCAGTTAGTTTCCCGGATGTAAACCTAGGGCCCTTCTATGGGCGTCAGCCTCACAGAGGCTGTGTAGACTGCATCGCTGTCCAGCCCTGTGTGTGTGATATTTGAGGTAGCACTTGGGGATAAAATTTGTTTTGCAGTTAAAGGGGCTGGATTCCCACATGGCTGACAGCAGTCTCAAATCCTGAACCCAGGGCTTGAAAATGATGCTGGGCACGTGTGCGTGCATGCCCAAAATCCGACAGGAAAATGGAAAAGGGATTGGGGTGTGGCCACCTCCCAGGGGGTAATTTCTCACTTTCCCTCTCTCTGTCTCTCTCCACAGGTTGCACACACCCAATGGCAAAAGTCAAAAGACAAAAGAAATTTGACCCAGTATTCTAATTTAATCTTTTAGAGATGCAGATGAATAGTTACCTACCTACTTACACTTCCTAAGATACTTAAAATTTAAATATTTTAAATCACATATTTTAAATAATTTTATTTAGAAACGATGATTTTCTACCCTCAGGGTTTGCAATTTCATTCAAACCCTTCACCTGTATTTCTGCCTCCCGTGTTGTCATTGTCATAGTCATGTGTCATCGCTAGCACCTCCAACTTCCCTGGGTTTTCTTGAACACGTCATCTTCACTTTTCCTTGAAAACTCAGCAGTTTTTTGAACTCATGAATGACACCGTTACTGAAAAAATTATGCCATGTCATGAGGGGACTAGGATGATTCTCATCTAAATGAATATTTGTTATCTCCTTAGGGAACCACAGAATTATGAAAATAGCAATTGCCTAGTCCTTCCTTATTTCCTTCTCTGCTTAATTTTTCTTCACAGCAATTTTTTTTTTAAAGAATTATTGGGACCAGCAGGTGATGTGGTGGTTAAGGTGCTGGACACTCCCTCATGATCGATAACGGTTTGAGTCCCATACCCGGTGGCTTGCTTTCTCACTTTCCCTCCCTCTCTTGCTCTCTGTGGTCAAATTAAAATAAATTAATGGATAAATAAAATTAAATAATTATTAAAAAATTATTTAACTTTATTTATTTATTTTTATTTGACCACAGAGGGGCAAGTGAGAGAGAGAAAATGAGAAAGCAAGCTGCCAGGTCTGGGACTTGAACCGTGATCAGCCATGTGGGAGTCCAGTGCCCTTAACCAGCACGCCACCTGCTGGCCCTCTCCATAGCACTTTCTACCTTCTGATATACTGTTTTGTTTATTGTCTACCTCTCCTTACTAGAATGTGAGCCCATGAGGTCAGGGAATTTCATGTTTTGCTGTTTCACAGCCACTACTTGGAAACATGCCCAGAACATAGTAAGTGATTAAAAAATATTTGTGCAATGAGTGAATGACTGTAAAGCTTTTAGAAACATCTGACAATCAGTGAAGGCCAGGCTCATGTGACAATACCACATGAGGAATGGCACTAGGAGGAGGTGAGGGGGCAGGCCTGCCAGCAATGAGTCCATATAAAGAAAACATCTAAGTTAGGGGGAGCCTAGTTGTGTTGGGAGATTAGTTACATATGGAGATACTGAGCGCATTATGAAATATACTACAGACCATGAGAAGTCATTTTCTCACTGTTAGGAAAGGGGAAAGCTGGTGTTGGCCCTGTAGTTCAGCAGTTAAGGCAGCTGGATCCCACATGGCTGACTGCATTTCAATTCCCAGCCCGAGTCTTGAATAGCATACTGGGTACAGGTGTGTATGCCCAAAATCCTGATAGGAAAGGGGGATGGAGGAAAAAGGATCATAGCATGACCATGCCCCACTAGGGGACTCTTTCACAGGGCACGCACACATACTCTGCTCATTTAAAAAATACATATGTGGGGCCAGTTAGTGGCCTGGTGGTTAAGATGGCTGGATCCCAAATATCTATGTGGCTTGTGTCCTGGACCCAATGGCTTGAAAAACAGGGTATATGTGTGTGCACATGCACAAAACCCTGACAGCAGAGTGGGAGAGAAGGGATTGCATCCCTCTGAGGGGTGTTTTGTCATTTTCTTTCTATTGGGTTGTCAGAAAAGTCATGACATTTTTTTCTATGCAATCTTCAAAAATGCCAAGGTCATGAAACTCAAAGTCTGCAATTGTTCCAGATTGAAGGAGACCAGAGAGATGTGACAACAGGGTACCGTGTTTGATACCGGATTCGATTTTTTTTATCCTAAAAGGTTTTTTTGTTTGCTTGTTTTTTTGACACGGAAGAGCAATGTAAAATTGTTTCAAAATAAAAAGTTAAATGCCTGGTGAGTGTTAGCCCTGCTCCTGGCTGACAGTTGGTGACCTACAGAATTCTTGGATAAGCTCCTGAGGAACCCCACTTGACTGTGTGCGAGGAGCCTCCTTTATGCTCCTTCTGTCCCTGGGCTCCTTGCAGCACTTTAATGACTATCTATGCTTCGGCCCTGCTGGCCCCAGAGGTCCCTGAGAGCGTCTGGGTCATGGCCGGGTAGTTTCTCAAAATACATTGACAGCACCTCAACAAGAAAGGTGTATTTAGAGTACAATTCAAGCCTACTTCTTTATGAGGGGTTCAATCAAAGAAATTGTTAAGACTGGCTATTGGAGCTGCACCAGGCTGAGTGGGGGCCATGGACAGCCTGTCACTGTTGCAGAGAGCACCCTGAAGGTCTTGGAGGGGACAAATGCCATTCAGGGCCGAGATGAGGAACTAATCTCTGAGACATAACCTTGCAGAAAAGGCCTCTCCAGAGCAGAAAAACTGCCTTCACATGTTTTACGTCGTTGCTGTACTCATGTGTTTGTGGAGGGTGAGGATCACCTTGCGAGAGGTGTGGGGTCCTGAGACCCCAGAGGCACAAGGATCAGAATGTTGCGAATGCCGGAGGTTATTATGAATAATACCATAGGGAGGGTGGACATTCAAGATGTTAGGAGGGATTTGCCAGGAATAAACTTTACTTCTGTTTTCTGCTGAGGTGAAGTTACAGAATGAGGTCTTTCAAGGTACCAAGATGCCAATCCTTCAGGATGAGGGGCTAGGGCACTTATGTCTCAGCATTGGAGCGTCCTGGGTCCCTGTCCCTCCTCCTGCATCAGGAGATATGGGTAGTGCGCCCCCTGGGGGTGACTGGAGGCATGCACCGGGGCAGTAAGGGATTTTTAGCTCAGGAACTGGTCTGAGGGCTTCAGGATGCAGGAGGGAAGGGAGGGGCCTCCTCCTCGCCTTGGGCTGGGAGAGGCCTGCCTGGGAGTGCCTTGCCCGGAAGGGAGGGCAAAGGGCCATGTCTTTCCTTTGCCCCACCCCATGACAGTCTCACTCAGTCACCGGGCCACCCTCTCTGTCCGGGACCCAGAGGGTAAGGGTCCTGCTGA